AATAGAATAGAATAGAATAGAATAGAATAGAATAGAATAGAATAGAATAGAATAGAATAGAATAGAATTCTTTTATTGGCCAAGAGTGATTGGACACACAAGGAATTTGTCTTTGGTGCAAATGCTCTCAGTTTGCATAAAAGAAAAGATACATCTGTCAAGAGTCAAGAATCATAAGGTACAACACTTAATCATAATAGTCATAGGGTACAATAAGCAGTCAAATCATACTGGGAAACAGTCCATATAAATCGTAAGGATACCAGCAACAAAGTTACAGTCATATAGTCATAACTGGGAGGAGATGGGTGACAAGGAGTGATGAGAAGGTTAATAGTAATGCAAATAGTAAATAGTTGGACAGTGTTGAGGGAATTAGTTGTTTAGCAGAGTGATGGCATTCGGGGGGAAACTCCTTGTGTCTAGTTGTTCTGGTTATTAAGTTATAAGGTATTATAAAATATAAAATACAAAAGCAAATAAGAGGACAGTGATGGGGAAGGAAAAAGGGGAAAGAAAAGTGAGGAAGGATAGGGAAAGAAAAAGAAAAGGAAGCACTGACTTCCGACTCTCTGTTACAGAAGAATAAGGCATGAACAACAAATCACAACTTTTTGTTTTACCCATAACAGTATGAACCAGTCATTACTATCAAAATCTATTCATTTAATCTGTAAGACCCAAAACCAAAGTTTTGTTCTTTTTCACATCAAGCATGAAGTTCAGAAGCGGTTTCCATGTGGAAACAAAAGGGACTTAAGTTCTTTTCTTCAAGTGAGGTAGTCAAAATTGACCACTTTGCTTAAAACTGAGATGTTTTCTGGAAGTCCACGTGGAAACGGGGCCCACACACCAACCCAGCTGCCCAGGCATCGCACAAGATTGGCAGTGCCTTGGAGGGCTGTTGTGGATGGGTGAAGTGCGGTAGCGCATCTGAACATTCCCTTGTGGGAACCAGCTGCATGAAAAGGGCATGTATAATTTTGAAGAACAACCCAAGAGCAGACTCCGCTCCCTTCCAGCACTGATGATGCTACCTAGTTGGGTCATGAAATGTCTGCAAGAAAACAACCAAGTTCAGGGACCAGGGAAGACCCCAAAGAACCGTCAAATTGACACGCATCCCGCTGAAAGGAGGTTTAATTTCCCATAATTCAGTGTTGGATTTCCAAAATCCCGGAAGCCATTCCTTGCTGAAATGACCTTCTGAAACCAGAAACTGGTTTGAGGATGTTGACTTTCTACTCCTCTATCAGCTTCCTTGGGAATAAGCTCCCCTTGAAGATTAACTTGAGAGAAAACATGCATTAGGTTATCTGGGATGGCTAAAGATCCTGCCAGATTGAGAAACCAAGACCGTGTGTGAATTTCCAATTAAACTGATTTATTATGGCTTGTGCCTTTGCACAGGAATCTACTCAACTTGGCAGTGAGGGTTAGCACTGTTTTGGTGCTAAATCAGGCTCGCTGGCATTCAAGAGGGGTTGGACTTGGTCTGTTTGTGACGAGGTAGCGATTCTAGGCCGATTCCTCTCTTGACCCCACCCCACATTCTGCCATCCCTTCTCCTCAAGTTCCCCTCTTGGTTCATCCGTGAATTAAAACAGCTGCAGGCAGTCTGTTTTGTCCAAATAAGACTAAAACATCGTAGAGTGTGCTGTTACTCCATTACAGCAGTGCACTTTTAGTTCATAATGGATTTCCTGTCCATTATAGATATACTGTAGGTCCCTCTCACCATGGATGGTCTATAAGTGCATTGATATTTGGTCCCATCCCATGGCAGGGAGAGAGCCCTGCGTGCTTCCCAACGCTTAGGCCAAAGAGGGGAATAATCACAGTCAACACCCCACCCCACCCCAAAGAAGGCCAAAAACACCCATTGTCTTCCCGCCTGGGGGAGAATGGGTTGACTGTTGGGTGCTCCGTTCTCCCCCATTCTCACACCATTCCAGCGCATTATTCTAGCAGCCGCGATGTGGGTGGGATCGTCTTGCAGAATCAAGCAGCAGGGTTAAAATAGTCATTTCGTTCGACAGATGCTTTCGGAGGAAGGGAGGGAGGGGGGGGGGACAAAAAAGAAAAAAAGAAGATTTAAGGCCCTCCCAAAGCAAGACACACACATTCGCTGCAGAACAATTTCCCATCAAATGGGTGTCCTTGAAGCTGGCAAAGGAGGCTCTGCAAGACTTTGGTTCCGTGCAGTTTGGAACAAGCCATGCCTGAAGTGCGTGGTGGTTATACGGCCTTCTCCTTGTGGGTGTGTGAATGTTGTACCACACAATGCTGGAGGAGGGGGGGGGAGAGAGGCCATCTCTTTCCCCCCCTCACCCCACCCCAGATGTACGGAGAGGGAGGGAGGGAGAGAAAGAGAAAAATCCTCATGTAAATGGTGGCAGTTGGAGGCTTGCATTCGTTGCTGCGTTAGCAAAACATAGACTCCGCGCATGATGTTCCTTCCTGCCCATTGGGCTGCCATGCAACCCGCCTATTTGTGATCTACAGGTTAGGTTCTTATAATTAGCTGTGCTGGGGGAGTAATAGCAAGCCTTCTTAATTAAGCACCTAATAAATCCCGAAATGAAATCCGCTGCGGCTTACCAGCTCAATTCAGAACCAATCCTTTCTCTCTCTCTCTGGCTCTCTCTCTCTCTCTGTTTCTTTCTCTGTCTCTCTCTGTTTCTCTCTGTCTGTTTCTTTGTCTCTCTGTGTCTCTCTGTCTCTGTTTTTTTCTCTCTCTGTGTCTCTCTCTCCCTCTCTCTCTTTCACTCTCTGTGTGTGTCTCTCTGTCTTTCTCCCTCCCTCTCTCTCTGTTTCTCTCTCTCTCTCTCTCTCTCTGTTTCTGTGTGTGTGTGTGTGTGCCTGTCTGTCTGTCTGTCTTTCTCTCCCTCTCCCTCCCTTTCTCTCTCTGTTTTAATTTGCAAATTGTATCCCTACCTATCTAACCCAGGCTGATTCCTAGCAGCAGCAGCATTTCCACCACCGGCTAAATTGGAGTGGCTTTTAAGCTCGGCCTTGCGTGTGTTTCCATGTGTGCTTGTGTGTGACCTGGTGTGTTTCACCAACCTCACTCCTTCAATTAATTGATGCTGCAGCGTATTGTACAATCCCAGAAAAAACAGGCAAATTCAGCCACTGGATTAGACGTAGTGTGTGAATGCAGCTGCTCAGCCCACTGTCTCATCAATGGCAACAACTACACACACACACACACACACACACACACACCTTGCCTTTCCAACACATGCATGCATTTGCAGTAGCAAAATTATGACCCAGAAAGCGAACAGCTGTCTCTCCGTGTTCAAACTTCCGTGAAAGATCTCCTCCTTCAAGATAACTGCCATCAGGTGCCCTTCAGAGATCTTGAGTGTACAACTCCACAATTGCCCGCCACACCTCCACGCAGCAGGTGGGAAGGGCTTATTCATCCCGGAAAGGCCAAACCTCTTGGTCACCTTGAATCAGTCATCCCTCAAGCCTCCTGCAAGGTAATTTCTACCTTTGCAGCTGGGGAGGTTAACCCTCCGTCCCTTCCTCCCCTGCGATTTCTTTTATTTCCCCCTTTTCCAAACCAGCAAAGAGACTCCTTTGTTTCTCCTAACGCTTCAAAACAGCGATTCTCAACCTTGGTGGCTTTAAGATAGGTGGACTTCAGTTCCCAGAATTACCCCAGCCAGCTTTGCAATGCCTGGACTTGGGTGACTGCAGGCATCGAGAAGCCCACAGATTCGCTCTCTTCGACCTTCGGGCCAGTGTGGAAAGATTAATTTTTAAAAAATAAAAAAAATTAAAATCCCCATCCATTCTTTGGCTTGCTACATTTCTCGGTTGGAGTTTCCAATTCCGTCAATGTAGGTCTGCATCTCACCTCTTCGTTATCTTCGTTTGTTGCCTGCTTTATTTTATTTTTTTAATCGCCTGTGCTTCCATTACAGATCATCCAGTGGTGGGATTCAAAAATTTTTTACTACCAGTTCTGTGGGTGTGGCACAGGAAGGATACTGCAAAATCCCCATTCCCTCCCTACCTCACTAACCTGCTTTCCAGCTCCGTTCTCCTGTGCAGGGCAACCAAAGAAAACCCAGCCAATCAGCTGGGACTCAATGGGAGGCAGAGAATAGATGGGGGTGTGGCTTGGTGGGCATGGCAATTCATTCATCATATGTTTGAGCCTCCAGTCCCCTCATCATCCTGGTTGCTCTTCTCTGCACTTTTTCTAGAGTCTCAACATCTTTTTTATAGTGTGGTGACCAAAACTGGTTGCAGTACTCTAGGTGTGGCCTTACTAAGGCTTTATAGAGTGGGATTAGTACCTCCCCTGATCTTGATTGTATCCCTCTGTTAATGCAGCTTAGGATAGCGTTGGCTTTTTTTGGCTGCCAAATGATGAACCGTTCCAATCTGGATCCTGGCCTCTTTCAAAGCCAACCCAATCTTGTGTTCCGTTCCAACAGATGCCAATTCACCAGAATCTGAAAGAACTCCTCGCCCTCCGAACCGAACTTCAAAAGAGGGTGGAAGAACTGCACCGGGAGGCCGCAAAGCGCTCCATCTCGTCTTCCTCCGAGCGAGGGACTTCTCCCGCCATCTCCCCTGTCCACACTTCTGTCTGACCGACCCAGCGAGACCACGAGGTTTACTAGACACGTTACCCGCTGCCAGAAACCCTCCCTCCCTCCCGCCGGTGTTATTTGGGGAGCGGGGGGGGCGGAGGGCTTAGGGGGAGGAGATCCCCCCCTTTTTCCTCGGTGTCTGTTACAGCAAAGCCAAAAGCATTTCCTTGCAGTATGTGGAGTGGTGGTTGCTCATCTCCTTCTTACCTCTCCCTTTTTCGTTGGTTGTTTTGCTTTTTTTTAAACGTGGAGCGTTTCTGAGTCGATAGCCAAACTCTTTTTTTAACTTCTTGTTGAAACTTGCAGCAAGAGCAGGAAATCTGTGGGTGTCGGGCAAGCAAGTGGGGAGGGAGAGGACGCATTCCACCTCCTCCCAGTGACAAATCGTATCGAGTGGATAAGGGAAACCGTATCAGCTTCCCTTGGGTACTTCGTACAGGGTGGTTGGGCGCTGGGAAGGGGAAAGCAAGCCACAACCCACGCTGAATTTTTTATTTTTTATTTTTTTTTGGAGCGGGGGACAGCAACCGATGACTTTGATGCACTTTGAAATGGATTTGTTTTTTTTAATTATTACTATTATTATTCCTATAGCAGTTGTATATTTTGAATAAAGACGTTTAAAAAATAAAAAATAAAAAGCAATGAGCGGGATTTGTCGCTTGGGAGAGAAAAGCTACTGGTTGCCCAAGGAATCTTTGAATCCGTAGATTGTTTGCACGTTTTCTCTACTTCCTGCTCCCTTTCACAACAGGGAGACAGAATCGGCTCGGTTATAAGCAGTCCTCGACTTAACAACCGTTCATTTAGCGACCGTTCAAAGTTGACCACGGGACTGAGAAAAGTGACTTACGACCGTTTCTCACATTGAAGACCGTTGCAACATTCCCCAAGTCGTCGTCATCTTGTAATAACCCCATAATCCCTTGCGGGGGTGAAGTCAGGGCAACTGAATGGAGCTAGCAGGATTTTTACTGGCTGGATGCCCTTCCTGTTGCCAGAGTGGGGTTTTGTTCAGCAGATACATCCTCATTGTGCTCAGAGAGAGAAATATCTGCCTCTATACTTAGGATCGAACTCACAGCCTCCTGATTGTGAGACGAGAGCTCTGCCTCTAGGCCACCGCACCCCTCCATTATAATGTCAGATTATAATTCAGTACACATGTACTGAATTTGACTACTAACGAGATCATTACTAAGAATAAGAGGGGATGCTATGAAGTGTTCCATGGTACATATAAAACAGCTCGGCAGTTTAAAAACACTGAGCTTGTCAGATGGAAAGCTGATCGCCTGTGTTCGAGACCTGAACACCACAAGACAGGGTTGAGTTCCCGTTCCTTGCTGCAGCTCCTAGCGTTTCAAAAGCACGTAAATCATCATCTTTTAATGGGCCCCCAAATCCCTGACAGGGTGGCGTGTGGGCAGCTGAATGAAGCTGAGGGTTTACTGGCTGGATGCCCTTCTTGTCACCAGAGCGAAGTTCTATTCAGTAGATATATTCTCATTGTGCCCAGAGAGAAATATGTGCCTTTACCTCAGATCGAACTCACAACCTCTTCATTATGAGGCAAGAGCTCCACCTCTAGGCCACCAACAAGAGTCCCGCAGCATCCCCAAGGAAACAACAATAAAAAGTTAAAATGATGCTTACGCAGTTGCTTACCAAGCACATCTAAATTACATGAAAGTAACCAAAATAAATTTACAATCCTCGTCACAACTTCTGAGCACCCCTAATGTTTGGAAATGGAAAGCTGGAATCGGTCATACGATTTATATTCGGACGCTTGGCAGCCAACTCGCGGTTACGATGGTTTTGCAGTGTCCCCGTGATCTCCTTTTGCGACCTTCTGACAAGCCGAGTCAAGAGGGAAGCCAGAACTCGCTTAACGACTGGGTTACTCCTTTAAGAACTGCGGCGATTCACTTAAACATTTAGGCGGGAAAATTTCTACAGCGGGACAAAACTCCACAAATTTACACCAAGACAAATTCCTTGTGTGTCCAATCACACTTGGACAATAAAGAATTCTATTCTAAAAAAAATTCTCGCTTGGCAACGTTGGCTCAACTGCTGTTGTAAGTCGAGGATTCCCTATATTTCATTTATTTTCCAGAATTGGTTTTTTTATTTTTATTTTTTTTAATGGTGTTTACCCCTTAGGTGACTAAGCAACTGAATTGCAAGTGGACAGAACACTCTATAAAGCCTCGGTAAGGCCACACCTAGAGTACTGCATCCAGTTTTGGTCACCAGGCTATTAAAAAAGATGCTGAGACTCTAGAAAAAGTGCAGAGAAGAGCAACCAGGATGATGAGGGGACTGGAGACTAAAACATTGGAAGATCGGTTGCAAGAACTGAGCTTGGCTAGTCTAGGGAAGAGAAGGACCAGAGGAGACAGGAAAGCATCTTCCAATATTTGAGGGGCTGCCACAGAGAGGAGGAAGTCAAGCTATTTTCCAAAGCACCCAAAGGCCAGACAAGGAATAATGGATGGAAACTGATCCAGGAGAGATTCAACCTGGAAATAAAGGAGGCATTTTCTGACAAGAACCATCAACCCATGGAACAGAAGTTGCCCTCAGAAGTTGTGGCAGCTTCATCCCTGGAGGCTTTCAAGAAGAGACTGGACTGCCATGGGTCAGAAATGGTGTAGGGTCTCCTGCTTGGGCAGGGGGTTGGACTAGACCTACAAGGCCCCTTCCAACTCGGTTAATCTAATCTAAAATGGCTAGATACTTAGAGAATTCCCTTTCCCCTTAGGAAGCTTTTCCAGTAGCCGAATTCCCAGATTTGAACCATAAACCCTTTGCATTCCGTCGCTTACCTTTCGATTTTGTGCTGCTGCTTGCTCAAGAAAGACATTTCGGGGTGTGGAAGACTCACAATCACGAATTGCCTCTTAGGACCTATATTAGAAAGTTCATTAGGTTTCCTGCAGAAGTTGTGGGAGCTTCATCCCTGGAGGCTTTCAAGAAGAGACCGGACTGCCATTTGTCAGAAATGGTGTAGGGTCTCCCACTTGGGCGGGGGGTTGGACTAGATGACCTACAAGGTCCCTTCCAACTCACTCTCTCTCTCTTTTCTGACTGCAAAGCCAAGACACCTTCGCTGATCTCAACAAGTGGTTTAGAAAAAGAGAGCGAACTGCAACCAAGGAGCTAAATAAAAAAGTGATGCACGTTGATTTATTTTATTTTGTTGTGTGTGTGCCGAGACACTCAAAAGCTATTGTGTCTTTCTTCAGAGCAACTCAACTTATTTCTCTCTTTAAAAAAAAAACAAACCCTGGCTATCATTAAGCGACAGACTACAAGTGTCCTGTTCGGGCCGGACAAGTTGCGTCACGCACAGTGGGTTGGTTAGCCAAGACTGCCCTTCCTGAATGTTGCACAGCTGTTCACTTCTGTCTCAAAAGCAGCCTGGACAAAACCATCACGGGGAGGGAGGGGGAGCTCCTAGCAGTAAAGCTCCACTCTGGACATCATCAACCATGAAAGCTGATAGGAACTGCTGTAAAAACATGGTTTAGCCTGCCCATTTCAGATCCCAAAACTGTCCATATGTTTGGCCACACTGCTGAAATTCTGCAGCGCACTTCCAAAACATCTATTTTTGCCCGAGCAGAGGGTTGGACTAGAAGACCTCCAAGGTCCCTTCCAACTATATTCTGTTCTTATTCTATTCTGAATTCTATTGTATTCTATTCTAATTTGTATTTCTATTCTAGACTCTCTCCTATATTCTCTATTCTATTTCAGTTCTGTTCTATTTTCTCTCCTATATTCATTCTATTCTATTTTCCAATATCCTATTCTATTATTTCCTTATTCCATTTCATATTCTATTCTATTTCCCAGTATCTATTCTATTCCTTATTCTATTTTCCAATATCTTCTCTATTCCTTATTCTATTTTCCAATATCTATTCTATTCCTTATTCTATTCTATTTT